TCTGATATGGTTTAAGAATATTATATTTTGATTATTCACACTTTGGTTTTATGTAATAACCTAATTAAAAATGACATTTTTGGCCTTGAGCTTTGGGATGTTACAAGTTGAGTTGGAAGTTGAGAGACAAGTGGAATGGATTCATAAATAATGAATCAGTAAGAGTGGTCTGTCAGGGATTCAGACCATCTTGAGATAGTAGAATTCAGATGAAGTAGATGTGATCTTATTGCGAGAAATTTGTTCATATGAGGATTTTAGGTCTTGTGAAGATTGGTCACAGCTACTCTAGGAAGGCTAGGGTATGCCCAGGATGAGTGGTTTGGCGCATAAGGAATGGAAAGTAATGATTTCGAGGATGAAATCTAATTTACGTGGGGAAGAGTTGTAACACCCCGTTTATTAACTAATTAAATAGATGAAATTTATGAACGAATGGTAGCCCTAAAATAAATAATTATATATCAAGTATGGTCTCGAAGGGCTAATTGTTACAATTTTAGAAGTTGGGGATTAAAAGTGTCAGTTTCGAATTAGTCTTGTAAGTATTTATGAAGGTAAGGACCACATGGTAAATTATCAACACTTAAGATGTATAGATTATGAGAAGCAAGGGCTAAATGGTAATTCTGGACTCTATTGTAAAGAATTTTCAAAGCCAGGGTATAAAAGGTAACATGTGGAGTTGATTTGAAGAATAATTTATAAGAAGGGGTTGAATTGTAACTGTAGGACTAGATATGAAATAAATTTCGTAAGCAGGGGTGGGAAGGGTAAATTATGGCCTTGGTTTGAAAGAAAAAGAGAAGGGGAGGGCCGATCTTGACATTATGGCAAACTTTTAGTGGAGCCAGGTATGAAACTTCACCACCAGCCAAACCCTAACCCTAAACCCCCCCCCCCCCCTTATGCACCCGCCACCCTCACCTTATCCCCCCACGTCCTAGCAACTACCTCCGTGAGGGCATAGTAGGATCTTTGACGATTCCATGAGACTCTGATGACAGGCCTGAGGCTGATGCCGAGGTTACCGTGGTGTTTCCTCTTCCGAGACCATCCACCGCTATGCTGCTAAGCCTTCTGTCGCTGCTCCTTCGCTATTGGATCGCCATCTCATTCCTCCACTTCTTGTTGTGGGTATTGCTTCGTTCCAAGGTGGTCTCCACTCATCCTCCCCATTCCTTCTTCTCTTTACTTCATTGTTGTAACACCGTTGTTAGCCACCGTTGTGCCATCGATGAGTCGCTTGAGTTGCTGCTACCATTACCAAACGCCACCGGGTAGGTGGCTGGGTGTGTCTTGCAAACAGAGTTGCGTGGGTGTGTTTCTGCTTGTTTAGGAATCAATAGAAACCACCGCCATCACTATGAGGTGGTGGCTGCCATCCGAAAAACCATCAATGGTGTCCCCTTGAGCTACCAGGCGGGTGGCTGGAGTGTTGTATACAATCTAAAGTATTTGTGTGTGTGTGTGTGTGTTTTGTTTAGCTGGAGTTCATGGGAAAAGCCAGCACCACCACCGTAAGGTGGTGGCTGCCGCCTAGTACCATCGTCGACCACCACTAGAGTGGTTGTGTGTGTGTGTGTTAAAGTAGTTAGTGTGTGTGTGTTTATTTGTGGATTAAAAAATAGTAAATGTAATTAGTAGAAAATGTAATGAAAACAACCATAACCACCACCGTAAGGTGGTGGCCACCGCTGCTTGTCACCAATGATCACCACTACCCGAGGTGTAGTGGATGGTGCCCCACTAGTGAACCCTAATGGGCTTAGAGATTAGTATTGGGCCTATTCAGCCATTTTTGGGTGGAAAACCCTAATTGTGATTATTTAGGCCTTCGACTTATTTGGACCCACTTTTGAGCCACTGGGATTAGATTGTGTATTAAGCCTAATTATCACATATCACTTATCTAGTAGAGTAAAGGAGTTAATGGATTAAGTGCTTAATGGGTTATGTGAGAAACACTTATCCCTAATTGTCATTTTATATGAAACCCCAATCTCACTTAGACTTTAAGTTGGGCCTTCCTATTGGGCCTTGATGATTATGAGATGTTGGACTATGAGAATGTCAAGTGTTGGACCAAAAATGAATGATTGGGCCTTTGATCGACACCATGTAGAGACTTGGGCACGATTGGGAAAATTGGGCCATAGATGGGCAATAGTTGGGCCTTGGTCCATTATTAGACTTTTGGGCTTTTGGATTGGGCCTTGGGCTTGATTCAAGCTAAGATAGGGGTAAAGTAGTATTTTACCCTAAGAATGGCTAAGAATGGACTTATGGTTATGAGTTGGAACCCAATTATTAATTGGGTGTTATTTTGATATTGACAGACCGGGAATATATCATCCAGCAGCTATGGTTTTGTCAGAAGGACTTCAACAGTGTGAGATGAGTCCTCTTTCAGTAGGAAAGGGTCTAAGGCCACAACCCCGGCCCGTTTAAGTAGTTGTAGTATGTCGGGGTAAGCACGATGCCGAGGAAAGCCCGATGCAGTTTATATGTTTCTGGACTTCGCTCCGAAGTCGGGACTGTCCCGAGAAGTAGTTATGTATGTCTGATGTCTTTGTGATTAATGCATGTTATATGATATGTGCTATGTGTTTCGGACTTCGGTCCAATGTCGGGGCAAGCCCGATGTATGTTAATTTACATGTTGTGTGTTACGTGTTCCAGGGTAACCCCGATGTCGGGCAAGCCCGATGTATGTTAGTTATTATGACATGTGTTATGTGTTCTGGGGCAAGCCCGATGTATGCTAGTTTATATGTTATATATTATACACTAAAAGATGGTGCAAAATAAAAAAAAAATCCGGTGTGTATATATATATATATATATATATATATATATATATATATATATATATATATATATATATATATGTATATATAAACTTGAAAATTATGCATGATAATCGGTCATTAAAACACTAATGTTTTAAATGAAATACGTGTTTGGATGTTTTGTCAAAAATCAAAAAAAGTCGACAGTATTTCTATAATTTAGATGATTTACGTATAATGAAAAAGAATATAAGGACCGGTTTTGTAATTTGGATTCCATTTCACTAAAGTTAGGACGTATGATTCAAATGTATAATTACAATAAAAATAAATAAATAAATATAATAATAATAATAATAATAATAATAATAATAATAATAATAAAAATTAAAAAAAAATAAATAAATAAAATAGCCCCTCAATAAAATAAAGCAAATGCATAAAAATTACATATAGGAGATTCGATCATGGACTATCAATAACATATGCAACGACTTAAGAAATTGTATCATACTGATAAATTTGTTAGCAAAACTTATATATACTAAATCAAATAGAATTAATTTTGGGCCCCGAACCATAGTAAGGCTCCGGGTGGTCGCCCAACTTGCGCACCCTATTCGATTGGCCCTGATCCGTGTTTGCTTTAATTGCTAATCATACCATATCCATAGCCATGGTAAAAGATGATATGTGGGACAAACTATATATCATTCCGTGAAACAATTCAGGGGGATTTAGGCATAGAGCAAGCAACAAATATGATTATGAAAAAATTGCACCGATAAGTACTTCAGCCACCGCTGATCCAGTAACTTCCGCAGCAACTTCACCTTTTGTATTAGAGCTTTTCATAGCCTCAACAATAGCTATAAGTGTAACCACAAAGGCGTAATCAACATTGGGATAAATTGTCACCATGAATTTGTCCTTCATGAGCTTTATATTCTCGGATGATTGCATTTTATTCACCTACAAGAATAAGTCAGTTAATTAGCTTTAGCTTGAGCTTTACCTTCATGAAATTACCAAATCTTGTTATATCACGTAACTTAAAATAGGGATATCCACTAGAAAATGTAGAAAACGAACTAATATGTATATAAATTACTTGGGCTATAGTTGTTGAAGTATCTCCCATAGAAATAGTGCAGTTTCTCTTCGACCAGCTTCCTTTTATCTTGAAATCACAAACATCTTTACTACTGGTTTTGTTTGCCAAGAACACATGTACATTGGTCTTAAATTGGATCACGTGAGGTGATTTTGTGGTAAATATCATATCCGATTTGCTTTTACTATCACCCCTGAATACATTCCATCTATCGTGTTCACTCATGATCTGGAAGACAAATTAGTCGATTTCAATGTTAAACTTAGCTTCCGAATTTCAAAAACAACCCAAAGAACAAAAAAGAAGTATTAAAACGGAACTTAAAGTCACCTTCTTACGCATCATAACAATGGGTTTGTCATCAACATCTAGTAGCACCCGTTGATAAGAAGCATCACAAGGTTTCACTTTGAGCAAGATTTTATGGTTCCTATCAGTAATCACAAGGCTTCCTTTTGAACTTCTATCAACTATAATATCAAATTGATATGGCACCATGAACCGAGACCCTATCACAGAGATTGGAGAGGATAAAGGTGCATCGCTCGGTTGAGCCATCATCGATACATACAGGTAGATCGTTCTTGATTAAGAGTACGAATGAAAGGTTTCTTATAAAGAAGATCTTTTCCTGTTGGCAAATTACCTTTTTGGAGTTATATATATAGGAAGTTTGTCAGGAAACGTATCAAGTCTCAACACGACACTGTTTTGACAAAGTCAAACATCGTCTCTTGATTAATCAATGACATCCACTGGTCAACACCTACAATAAATAATAGGTTGAGTTTGTTTTTGTTGCTTACTTGTTTATTATAATATTTTATTTTTAAACAAAAATATATAATGAATAAAATTGGGTCTTTGTCCCCTCAATGCCCACTTTGCCCCCCCCCCTTAATGCCCATGATCATTGATATTTTTGAGGGTTGTATAACTACTTCTACACACATATACAAACTGTCAAAACTACCGTAACCACACTTTATTTTTCTCCACAAGTTACAACTAAAAAATGATATGTGGGACAAACTATAAATCATTCTATGACACAATCTACAGGGAATTTGTCATATAGAACGCGACTAATATGACTAGGAAAAAACTGAACCAATAACTGCACCAAGAACTGCACCCACCCCTGATCCAGCAGCAACTTCACCATTTGTGTTAGAGCTTTTCATAGCCTCAACAATCCCTATAAGTGTAACCACAAATGCGTAATCAACATTGGGATAAATTGTCACCATGAATTTGTCCTTAACGAGCTTTACATTCTCAGATGATGGCATTTTATTCACCTACAAGAATAAGTCGATTAATTAGTTTGAGCTTCAGCCATACTTTCATGAACTTATCTAATCTTGTATCAGTTATATGTACCACGTAACTGAAAACAGGGATATCTACTAGAAAGCAAACGAAAAGACTAAAATGAATGGAAATTACTTGGGCTATTGTTGTTGAAGTATCTCCCATATAAATAGTGCAGTTTTTCTTCGACCAGCTTCCTGTTATCTTGAAATCACAAATATTTTTACTACCGGTTTGGTTTGCCAAGAACACATGTACATTGGTCTTAAACTGGATCACGTGATGTGATTTTGTGGTAAATATCATATCCGATGTGCTTTTACTGTCACCCATGAATACATTCCATCTATCGTGTTCACTCATGGTCTGAAGATAGATTAATCCGTTACAATGTTGAATTTACCATCGAGTTTTCAAAACAACCCAAAGAACATAAAAGAAGTATTAAAATTGAACTAAAAGTTACCTTCTTACGCATCGTAACGATGGGTTTGTCATCAACATCGAGTAGCACTCGTTGATAATGAAAGGATGTATCACATCGTTTCACTTTAAGCATGGTGTTGTGGCTCATATCAGTAATAAAAATGTTTCCTTTTGGATTTCTATCAACTATAATATCACGTTGATATGGTGACATGAACTGAGACCCTATCACAGAGACTGGAGACGACAAAGGTGCAGAGTTCGGTTGAGCCATTATCGATACAAATACACAAATCGTTTTTGATAGAGTATATGCAGTGAAAGGCTTCTTTTATATAAATATGTGTTCCTGTTGGCGGATTACTTTTCTGGGGTTATATAAGAAGTTTGTCAGGAAACGTCTTAAGTCTCAACACGGCACTGTTTTGACAAAGTCTAATATCGTCTCTTGATTGTCCACACCTACATATATTTATTACGTGGAATTTGTATTTAAAAGGGTAAATATAACAAGGATTATTGTTTTTTGTTTATAAAAATATAGATGGTGTATGGATAATTAATGTCAAATACTTTATATCAAGATATAATTGTTTACACCGAATTAAGTAGTGGAACAGCACAACACTAAATTTTTTAGATAGTGTTTGGCATAATACCTAGAACAACTAATTGGAGGTTTAACCAAGCCCAATGGGATAATTCATTAAAAAAATAGTTCCACCCGAACACACTTACTATCATATTTCTAATTTCACACAAATACCCCTACTTGGAACCGCTCTCGGCCTCCGTCTCCATTTTTCTCGTTTTCTACCACTTTGCTTCATAAAAAATATCACCGTCTCCTCTCCTTTGTTACAATCAATCACACGCAAGAACTGATTATTGATTGTTGGTTCTCGATTTTATGCCATTCTAACTCTCCAGTAATCATTATTGTCTATACTGAACATCATAAGGTACAATTTCTTTTTAATTTTCAATATGTACATCTCTTCAATTACTTGAACGATTTCTTGATTTGTTTCTATCCTATCCTTACCTGCATCTGTTAGTATTTAGTTGTGTATTAATTTCGACCGGCTTCAAGTTATCTATATAATTCAAATCTCTTTGTCAATGATTTTTGATTATTTCTCTTGATATTGTTACCTGCATCTATTGAATGCATATTCAAATCTCTTTGTTAATGATTTTTTATTATTTCTCTTACTATCGTGCGATTGGAGTAAATCAACACATAAACACGCATAATTTAACTACTACATGTGTGTGTTTGGGAATCCATGGCTGCTTTCCTGCTTCGATTTGCAATCAAGGCGAGATGATTTCCCTACATTTTCTTATTTTATCATCATTTTTACTATCATTTTGGGTTTCTTTTACCATTTAAGATGATTTCGTGTTATGTGTGAGTATGTGACGATCAATCTTCATCTGGATCTGTTTACACTTTGTTTTTTGATTAATAACTTGTTAAGCACAAAATTTTCACCTAAACACTCAGGATCATTTTGAAATTTGAATTGGAGTAGTTTTTCTTTACTACACTTTTAATATTTTTGGGATTCAATTGATTATATGGATCTGATTTTTTATCATGAATTCGAGTTTTGGGAATTTAATTTTCTCTTATAACTAAGTAGTTTTATGATTATACTAGTAAAAAGAATAACATTTTTGTATGTTCTTATACAACCTGCATCTGTTAGGAACACATGTAATGAATAAAAGATGCCACCGGATTTCGGAGACCCTATGCATTTTAGTAAATAGGTCCTAAAATTTATATTTGTAAAAAAAATATATAAAACATAGTTCAAAATTTTCATTTCATCTAGTATATAATATACTACAATGACAATTCCATATCCTTTATCAGTTTAACCATAGCCTCTTCATCGCCATTCCTATTACAAGCCACACACCATTTATTGTTACACATTGAAATATTAGACACTTCATCTTTTTTTTTTTTAACAATACTATTAAACACCAATGCGAACAGGTAGTTGGCACCAACAAAAATACAAAAAAACAAAATGTTTATGTCCCTAATACAAAGACTAAAGTACATAATCAATTAGCATACACCCAATGCCCCAAAATACTGATGTAAAACAAATCAATAGACATACAAGGAAACTAAAAAATATTAATGAGGATTAATTGCGGAAAAACAGATCCAACTATTATTAATATAATTACCAAGTTTTGTCCAAAAATCAAATTGTTCATTGACGATCAAATCTAATTGTAAGAAAGTAGTAGAAGCAGATTGTCCTGTTGTTGGACGAAAGTAAATACGAAACAATAATGTAAAACCAACATGTTGACGACTGATCTTGATCGTAGAATAACTGCACGGATCAGAATCCGGTCTTTAAAAGTTTTTACTTTGCTAAATTGGTTAGAAAGCGGAAGAAATCACACACACACACACATAGAAAGAGAGGGAGAGAGAGTGTGAGAGTGCTTCGAAATTCGTGTATCAAATACGGCTCCGAAAGGTCTGTATTTATAGGTATCAAAACCCTAGAAGGCAATAAAAGGGCCCTATATGGGCCTCCCCCCTAAAAACTCTAGGGCGATGACTTACTCTTAAAGCTAGCCGTTTTATAACCTTTCTAGAATATTATGTTGCCATATCCACAAAGTCAACCGTTTAACCAGATCGGTCAAACTGACTTAACCTGAACTTCGCCAAAAATAAAAGCTCATCAGCGATCGATGCGTTGTGCGAAGGGCTAAGTGTGCCATTTCGCGCACTCGTAGTGTCAACTAGTGCTAGGCTAGGCCAGGCAACTTGTTATTATACCTTCATAATTTCCAATAATTCCCCACCATGTGGAAGGTTTCCTTTCACTTAGACCAATTCAATGGCATCCTTATAGCTTTCATATAACATCCATAAAATTCGAGCAAATTTAAAACTTTTTAAATCATTTAAAACCATTTAGTCATTAGAATTTGTTTTCAAAATAGTTTAAACATCAGAGTTCCTAAAAATCATAATAATCAATTGAGGAAGTGTACGGTCATGCCTTTGCCTTCCAGCGGCCATCTGCTGAACCTGAAACAATAAACTGAAACTGTAAGAGCGAAAGCTTAGTGAGTTACCCCCAAAATACCCATACACACAACAATACACATATAATGGCAAACAACATACCATGGGTCCAATCATCCATCGGGATGCAATACCCTAGGCCCTCAACCATCGGGTTGGAATACCAACATACTATGAGTCTAATCATCCTCGGGATGGAATACTCTCGACCCACAACCATCGGGTTGGAATGCCCACACACAATACATATATAACAGACACTATGGTTCCAATCATCCATCAGGATGGAATACCCCAGGCCCTCAACCATCGGGTTGGAATGCCAACATACTATGGGTCCAATCAACCATCGGGTTGGAATACCCCAGGCCCTCAACCATCAAGTTGAAATGCAAACATAACCAATCAAACATGTGCAACTATATAAGATAATCATATAACAGTCTAAAAAGACAACATACTCGGGTCATATCATCCTCGAGATGGAATACCCTCAACTACCAATCAATCATGTGCTCATATAATAGGTAATTACATAACAATCTATAGACAGACAAACCGATCTAGCAGATCATGACAACATAAAAACATCCTATCTACCAGGATACTGATCTAATGGATCATAACAACATACAACATCATATCTACCAGGATATTGATCTAACGGATCATAACAATGTATAACATCCCATCTACCAGGATACTGATCTAACAAATCATAACAACATATATCATCCTATCTACCAGGATACCGATTTAACAAATTATAACAACATATATCATCCTATCTAACAGATCATAACATCATATAACATATCAGGATAACAATCCGAAAATGGTCGGCCTTGGTGCCTTAGACCCTTGAGTACAGTGAGGATAACTCACCTCGCAACTTTTGACTGGAAAGATAAGCTCAAACTCTCGGATCACCACCACAAACTCCACCACTTATATTCACCATAGAACCATACTCATGAATTTCCAACTTCCCAAAATACCCCAGAAGTCAAATAGCCAACCCTTGGTCAAAGTTAAAGTCAACGATCAAGGTCAACAATCCTTGTTGACCCGACTCATTGTAACATCCCAAAAATCACGACTAAAATTTTCTTTTTAAAACATTACTAAAACCCTATTCATAAAAACCTTATCATAAATCATAACATAATTTCATAGCATTAATTCGAAATACAAACTTATTATCAGAGTAAAACATCCCAAGCTAGCTGACTATGGTGTGTGCACTGCAATCTTTCCGAGTTCCTCTTTTGAAAACTGAGTACCTGAAACCAAAAACTGAAACTGTAAGCACAAAGCTTAGTGAGCTCCCCCAAACTACCACATACTATACAATAACATATAAAACACATACTGGGCCTTGCCCACTGCATCGGACCGAGGTCCGGACTACTGGGGCCTTTCCCCCTGCATCGGACCGAGATTCGGAAACTGACTGGGACCGTGTCCCCTGCATCAGACCGAAATCCGGACTAACTGGGGCCTTACCCCCTGCATCGGACCGAAGTCCAGAAACTGACTGGGACCTTGCGCCCTGCATCGAACCGAAGTCCGGACTAACTGGGACCTTGTCCCCTGCATCGGACCGAAGTCCAGACTAACTGGGGCCTTGCCCTTGCATCGAACCAAAGTCCGGAAACTGACTGAACATAGCATGGCATAACATATCAACTAGCATGAACACATATACTGCATACTACATCGGGCCGTAGCCCGGAACACATAACACGTAACACATAACACATAGCACATAAATCCTGTCTGAGCCACGAAGGTATCAAACATACTAACTACTGCATTGGACCGAAGTCCAGAAACTACTGCTAACTAAACGGGCCGGCATTGTGGCCTTAGACCCGTTCCTGCTGGAAGGAAACTCACCTGAACTGCTGAATTTTGCTGGTAACCCTCGGACTGCTAACCAACCACCGTCTGAAACGTTGCTCCTCTAAATCTCCGAGCTACCAATAACAAAGTGACACTTAGCCTCACAGACCTCTAAAAGTCAACTAACTCAACTCTGCACAAAGTCAATGTCCTGGCCAAAGTCAACCTTCCATGTTGACCCTACTCGCCGATTCAGCCTACTAACTCACCGAGTTCACTGATTTTAGAGTTTTGTCCTGTTCAACTCACTGAGTCCCCACTCAACTCACTAAATTGAGCCTTGACTTGAAGGTTTTGGGGTTTCGCGACTTGACTCGCCGAGTCCAAGAACAAACTCGCCGAGTCCAAGCCAATCTTCAACAGACT